TTGTTATTATCATAATTATTATTATTATTATTATTGTTATTATTATTATTTTTATAGTAGTTTTTATTAGTATCATAACGATTATTATCATATTGTTATTGGTGGTGGTGATGACAATTACTGTTATAATACATGTTCTTGTCAACCACGGTATAATGACTGTTATTATATTAGCCTTCATTGTAACTTTCCTAAGGGTCTACTACTACTTACTAACAACATTGCAAACAACGAGATAATGCTGACAGAAAGATTTATTATAACTGCAAAAATAACAATAATTAAAATGATAGGCCCTATTTTTATAGTAATAGTGATACTACTGCTAGTACAGGAAATCTATTATAATGAATAGCAAGGATAAAAATGAACGGTTGTGATGTTATATAGCCTAATCGTTCACTTTTTCTCCTCTAAGAAATAGAAGGCCAGGAGGATAAAATACACATTCACAGAAAGAGTGACAAAGAACGGTTGGCATCAGCTGCCAACGACCTTCCTAAGAATATGACTTGTGAAACAAAGAAAAGTCACAAAACACAGATATGTAGGCTTAACGAAAAGTCACAAAACACAGATATGTAGGCCTAGTCTATGGCATGTTCTTGGACGATCCGGCAATCTAATAATCCAGTTCCGAATTTTATGGGCTTAAAGGGGGGGGGGGTGTTTATCAGTGCTGAAATTAGATCTAAATCTAGCCGTTTCCAAGAACCAATTATTAAATGTCTTCTTGTGAAATTTTTGGTGTGATATTAGTCGTACTTATAGTAATACAACATGGCTGTGTTTCTTTATTTTAAAAACAAAACAAACTAAACAATTTAAAGCAAAAATTATGATGAACATACTATGAAATTATGATGTTGGAATTTATATATTATTATACTCACCGTCTCGAACTTTCATCCCGATTTGCAGCTGGTTTGTGAGTGCCACAGGTTTCAAGAAAGACGACCATGATGACAGTCAATAGTTTACTTGCTGATTTTCTCAGGCTCTGGGAGAAGTTGGTCCTTGATTACAGCGTGAAGCTGTGTCTGTGTCCTGTTCTGTAAAGTGCTTGGTGAAGACACGAGACCGTCTTCTGTTTTCTCAACTAACCACGTTAGTGTCGTTAGTGGCCTTTGTTGAACATCACGTTTTGAAACTATAGAGGTAGACCAGCAAGTTCGTCGTCGATGTTTTGAAGAACTTGCAAGTAAATGTTGATTTTGTTATACGTTTAGTATAACGTCCCACGCATGTTTGCATTACCGGAGGGGTCTGCTGGAGAATAACGTCTTGCTCGAGTCGGTAACACTAACACGACAACAATGATGACGTCAGTTGGGTTAAGCTGTAATCCACAAGCGTGTGAAACTTTGAAGAAGTCAAAACTGTTAAAATGTTACTACTGTTCTTTAGACACAAGGGCTTGCTTTGTGAGACGGAAGAAATCAGTGGCTCTATCGTCTGACGTACGGGTGGAGGAAACCAGCCGGCGAATGCGAGAAACCCCGTACCGATCAGCTGTTTTACAGTGTGTGTTTGACAGCCTCCTACGTCACTTTGCGTGGTTTACACAAGCCTTGCGGTCGGCTCCTGAACAGCGATTGGTCGATCCCGTCTGAGCAATCTGTTGCGTCACTTTCGGCCTGGGAGCCAGGAGGGCTTGGCCTGGGGAAGAGAGGGGTCACTCGTGGTTTGAGAGCTTATCGTGTGGTGGCCAGTGAACGTGTTCTTTGTGTCTGACCGGGCGTCACTCATGGTGCGTTCGCGGTCTGTTCAGCAGATGGGGATCGTCATTCGGACAAGGCGCGATTGTTGGAAAGTGGAAAGAAAATGAATTGAAATCGAGGGGGAGAGGGGTAATATGAGGGAAGGGGTGGGGAAAGGAAATGAAGAGAAAGAGAGAAATTGGAAAGGAGGGAGAGAGGTATGTTATGGGGGAAGGGGTGTCGAAGTGAAGTAGAGGTGG